TGTGTGTGTGTGTGTGTGTGTGTGTGTGTGTGTGTGTGTGTGTGTGTGTGTGTGTGTGTGTAAAATAAAACTTAAGCTTGGTTTCCAAAAATGATGGGAATCAGTCTGATTTAACAACATATTCTAGGTTTGGGGAATTATATGAGCAGAGTCACAGTGGGCATTTATTGATTTATCTGTCCAACTCCTTGTGTCAGGCTTATGCTAGACATTGGGAATATAAAAATGAGTGAGACACAGGCCTCACTCTCATGTCCATCTGAACTAATTTGAGGAATATAGGCAGGAAAATATAGAGATCTGTCTTACAGAATAAAGAGAGTGTAGAAGAGATTAAGCTATATAAGCCAGTTGATGGTGGGCATTGATTGGCTCAGGAGCCTGGTATTAACTCCCTAGGTGGTATAATTCAGCTGTATTAATCAATCAAATGAACAGTAGGATGAAAAACTCACTTTAGAGTGTTAATCCTGATACTTGTGCATTTGAAGTGATTATTTCAGTATGAATGCAGAATTCAGTATATTTACCAAAATATTGTATTCCAAAGCAGAATTATGTTGGGATTAACTATACTTTATTAAATTTTCATGAAAAGAATAGCTGTCCTTTAGTGAGCATGTACTATATATGAGGCATTGCTTTAGGTACTTTATATACATTTATTGTAATTCTTATAGAAAGTCTGCAAGATAGTTGATGTTATGCTGACTTTCACATGAAAAATGAAGGAGTTCAGCGTGAAGCAGAATTTTACGCCTGATGTGTTCTAATTGTTATTGTAACACTTTGGCCTTCCTCAAGGTGTGATGGCCAGGTGACAGCAAGACGGAAGAGCATTTTCATCCTTAGAATTTAGATGTTTTAGGTTCTTTCAGCAATTGGTTTTTTTTTTTTTTTTTTGTCTTTTTTCCGTGTCCGGCAAGGGATCGCAACCCTCAGTGTTGCCCCCGTACCGGACCGGGGACTGGCAACGGGATTGCAACCCTCGGTGTTGCTCCCGCGCCTCGCTCAGCCAGTGACCGGGAACCGGTCTGTATGTGGGATCCGAACCCTCGGGCGGGAGCACCGCCGCGCTTCCCAAGCGGCGCACTATCCATTGCGCCACCGGGCCGGCCCCAGCAATTGGTTTTTATTGTCCCCCTTTATTTAGCCTAACCAATAATAAATGACAAATTTTATAGAGATTTTTTAAATTTGCAGTTGGTCCTGACAGTATTTAACTCTTAAGTAGTCAGAAAGTAACTGATCAAAAGGAAGGTATTTGGATAACCTGTGAATTGACTAGAACAATTATTAAAATAATTGAATATGGCAATTACTGTACCTGTAAATAAGTTTATAAGTTTTCTAGGATGTTTCTTCTAAATGCTAGATCTTAGATTCAATCTTCAAATCACTTTGCTTTTACAAAGATCAAATAGGGAACTTAAAGTACAAGATGTTTTTCCTAAAGCTTTTGAATATATTATAAGCATTCTGTAGGCTAAAAATAAGCTTTTGTTTTTTGACAATTGTGGTTATAATATTTATAAACTTATCGGTTTTCTTTAGTTTCTTGATATAGATTTTTTTAAATGAGTGCTGAATTGATGTTATAAGCAGTTGTAACTAAAT